GCACAATATTTAAAAAAAAAATAAAAAAATAAATAAATAAATAAAAAAGTCATTATAGCTAGTTGTGTGTAACAATAATTGTGTGAATTAAGTTAATTAATTTGTTATTTTTCAATTAACGTCATTTTTTGATTGTCATTGATCATAACTAGATTAGCTAGGAACTAGCTAGTGAAGTTTATTAGTATTTAGGTTATTTTATTAAATTTGAAAGACTTTTATATACGGAGTATTATTTTAGCGAGTGATCAAGATTATCGAGTCTAATTTTGTGTGTTCAAAGTCAAACTCGACTTCTCTGTATCTTGTTCTTTTGTTTATTTTGAGTTTAGTCTCGAGTACATTATCAAGTTCGTGCTTGAGGCCCAATGAATAAAATTTAATTACAAATTATAATGAAATAGTAAGATTTACAAGAATGTTTTTTTTTTTTTTTCGGAAGGTAAAACACATAGCATTTACTAGAATGTTCATGAACACTTACTATTAGCACATTCACAAAATGAGTTCAAATTTGAACCCCTTTATTAATCAAACAAGTTTGAGCCAAACGTTAATCTCATTGAGCTATTCTAATTGTTCGTGAATGGAATGGATTATATGAGTACCAAAGACTTTTTATCTTTGGAAGAAGCTAGCTAGTGGTACAATTGCATGAAACGCAATTATAATGTTATATGTGGAACCCACAATTTTTTTAAAAAATAAAAAATTTAAAGTCTTACCTTTTGACAGCTGACAATATAACAACAGGTATGTGAATTAAGTTAATTTATTTGTTATTTTTCAATTAACGTTTTTAAATTGTCTTTGATTATAACTAAATTAGCTATGAACTAATTAGAGAGGTTAATTAGTATTTACGTTATTTTAACAAGTGATCTAGATCATCGAGTCTAATTTTGTGTGTTCAAGTCAAACTCAACTCATTATTAAGCTCGAGGTTGAGGCCCATGAAAAAAATGTAATTACCAATTACAATGAAAGAATCACTTCACAAAAATGAATTCAAATTCAAACTCCTAACTATAATCTTGTACAATTGGACTGGACTTGTTCGTGAACAAATGGTTACATATTTTCTACTTGAGACTTTAAAGTCTTACCTTTTGACAGCTGACAATATAACAACAGGTCTGTGAATTAAGTTAATTTATTTGTTATTTTTCAATTAACGTTTTTTAATTGTCTTTGATTATAACTAAATTAGCTATGAACTAATTAGAGAGGTTAATTAGTATTTACGTTATTTTAACAAGTGATCTAGATCGTTGAGTCTAATTTTATGTGTTCAAGTCAAGCTCAACTCATTATTAAGCTCGAGGTTGAGGCCCATGAAAAAAATGTAATTACCAATTATAATGAAAGAATCACTTCACAAAAATGCATTCAATTTCAAACTCCTGACTATAATCTTGTACAGTTGGACTGAACTTGTTCGTGAATAAATGGTTACATATTTTCTACTTGAGACGGCGACTTTGGAGTACCAAAACTTTTTTTATATTTGGAAGGAAGCACGTGGTGATGGTCCTTCAAATGTGACACTTAGGACTCCAAGTCCACCACAATTATTATTATTTTTTAAAAAAATTAACCACCACATTTATTGCACGTGGTGTTGGTTTACCCAATAATGAATGCCAAATTAAATCTGTGATGTCCATCCGTGGGTAGTTCTATGGTGTTATTGACTGTGATATCACACAAGTGGTTCGTACTTGATGGTGTTACATTCTTGTGGTGCTTTATCAATGTGCTCTTATCCACACACCAGTACAATGGACCCACTTATCTTTCCTCCCGTTCCCTTCATATGCGAAGGATGAGGACGGACTCAGTAAGCTGTACAAAGAGGGGGAAACAACATCATTTCTTTTCTTTCCTTTTCTATTCAAACTCCTAACGTTAATCTCGTTCTGTTCGAGTACCAGGGGAAAACCACGTCATTTCTTTTCTTTCCTTTTCTTTTCAAACTCCTAACTTTTATCTCGTTCTGTTTGAGTTGTTCGTGAACAAAATGGTTACGTTTTTTCTACTTGAGACAACAACTTGGAGTTCCTAAACCTGTTTTTTGGTCGGAAGGAAGCGAGTGGTAGTGGTCCTTCAAACGTGACGCATAGGGCCCCGAGCCTAGGCATTCTGACTTAACGCATTGAAAGGTTGTTTTTAGGCAAGAATGGCCTCCATTTTCCTGTGAATCTGACATGACGGGAGTGCAGTGCTCGTTAACATCATTGGCCTCACATAAATCCTCCCCAAAGACTTAGTCAAATAATCTATTTAAAATATCATTTTTTTTTTTTTTATTGTGGCCCCATGCTAATAATACTCTTTTATATATATATATATATATATATATATATATATATATATATATATATATATAATAATAATACTCTTATATATATATATATATATTTAATAATAATACTCTTATATATATATATATATATATATATTTAATAATAATACTCTTATATATATATATATATATATATATATATTTAATAATAATACTCTTATATATATATATATATATATATATATATATATATATATCTTGCATATAGTCTATATAGAGATATATAAACAAACAAATATAGAAAATATGTTTCAAAAAATCTTATGAATAAAAAAATAATAATAAAAGTGACTAACCCAGTACCTATACCCACTGGGCTAGTGTAATGGTAAGATGTTTTGCAATCTGATCAAAAAAAAAAAATTAAGGTATTAGATGAGACTAACATTCAATTCATATATACGCATTTATGGAAGAAAAAAAAATTTGGGGTGGGTTGAAGCCCAGCTTCGCTCACCCTTGGATCCGCCCTTGATTGTAAGACAAAATCTTTCTTGTAACTAGACCTATCAATGGATCGGGTTTTAATTCAAATCCGATCCAAGTAGTCGGATATAGATTGAACAAAAAATTCTATAATTCGATTCTCATCCTAAAGTTCCATTCACACGAAAAAAATAATAAATAAAAAATAAATAAATAAAAAAGAAGAAGAAGAAGATCATAATCAAATGCAAACCACTTGATTTTATAATTGATTATTGCACTAGATATTATAAATACAAATCAATTTATACTATGATATGATATTGGCCACTTTGGGTCTGAACCCACACGATTTTTGTTCTTGAGCTTTACCCCAAAATGCCTCATACCAATTAAAGTGGCACACTTACATATAAGCATTTCACATTTTCTTTACATAGGTGATGTAGGACTATATACCCGTAACTCGCCAGTGTGGTAGCCTGCTAGTATCTCTCACCCGCCCACGATACACCCGCCCACAGGATCATCACAATCCACCCCCCTTGGAGGCCCGACGTCCCCGTCGGCACATTTCCGACTGGGTCAGGTTTTGATACTATTTGTAACGACCCACTTCACCACATGGTATGATATTGTTCGTTTTAGGCCTAAACCCGCACAGTTTTGTTCTTTGAGCTTTATCCCAAAAGTCCTCATACCAATTAAAGTGACGCACCTACATATAAACATTTCACCTTTCCTTTACCCAGATAATGTGGGACTATGCACTTGTAACTCGCCAGTATGGTAGCCTGCCAGTGTCTCACCAGCCCATGACACACCCGCCAGGGCTAGTTTGGCGTGGTTGAATGAAATAAAGTGGGAATGGAATGAATCGGAGAATGGAATAAATATGTATGTATATGTATATATATATAGCCGACATTTCATTAAATATTTTTTTTATTCATTTATTTATTATTATTATTTTTAAGTAGGAATGGAATGGTCATTCATTTAGTTAGAAAGTGGAATGAATTAGTGGGGGAATCACCATTCTTAGAGAATGGGTAAGAATCATCATTCTAATTTTAAAGTAGGTTACCAAACTAAATAATGGAAACAAAAACATTCCATTCTCACTTCATTTAATTCTATTGACCCACACAAAACATGGACAAGGCGTTAGATAAAGGTAGGTGAGAGTCACGTATGTTGTGGTTGTAAGAGCAATCCCAATGCACAAGCAATGTGTACAATATCTGAGGATTTGTTGAATGAATACCCTTACTATGCACATTACACACTTAAGGCCCGTTCATATTTTATGCCTAAATCTTCAAATGTGTAGAATCAAATAGCCATTCTACGATTGAAATGGTGGGTCTTGTGTGTACTTTTAATATTATAAAATAAATTAATTGTGTATTAATATTATGTGGGTAAATTTTAAAATAATAAAATAATAAAGTGTAGAATATAAAAGATGTGTGCACAACAAGAGAAATAAACCTTTAAAAAATGTGTAAAGTCTTGTCATCACAATTGCTAACATGACACTACACTTTGTAAAAGTGTAGAATGAGAATGGAAATGCTACTCTGGGAATGCTCTAACACACTCATCACCGACAACAAAAAAAATTAAATTAAATTAAAATTATTTTTTTTTAATCATATTCTTCTTTAACTTGAATTATAAATAAATTAGGTAACTTATAATCATAACACAAGCATCACTCACACAAAAGAAAACTTTTTAATCAAATTTTTAAATTTTTTTTATATTTATAATTTAGATAAACATTCAAAAAAAATTTACGGTACGAAATATTCATTATGGACTAAAACTCTTATATTTGAACTAATAACCTATGGTTACCTTTTTATTATATTTTTCTTGATTAATAAAATATAAATATTAAAAAAATAGCAATATCAATAGAAAATTTAAATGACATTTAATTACGATATTATGAACTGACAAAAGTTTTTTTTTTTTTTTGTGTCATTCAAAAGCATAATGGAAGCCAAGATGAGTACAGAGCCACAAAGCCAAATTAGAAGACATATAAATCTTGAAGCAAAAGTAAATAAATTGACACGAGTATGATTGGTTCACAATTATTCTTAACTCAACCGGTGATTGGTGCACACGTGTCGTGATGAAAAACCATGAGGGCGAAGATAACTCTTATATATATTACTACTCCGTATATACATATGGGTGTATTATATTGTGTTGTGTTCACTCTGTAGTCTATACTGGTGTATGCATATATGAGAAGAGAGATCTGGAGAGATAAGAGATGGAAGCAGAGAGCTGCAGAAATCCATGTCCGGCGACCGATTTCAACGCATTGCCGGAGAATTGCATAGCGAACATGTTGTCTCTGGCGAGTGCTCCAGATACTTGCCGGCTTTCGTCGCTGGCGTCCACTTTCCGGTCGGCTGCGGAGTCTGACACAGTTTGGGAGAGATTTCTGCCGTCAGATTATCAGGACGTCATTGCCCGAGCTACCGATTCTTCTCCGCCTGTTTTCACATCTAAGAAAGAGCTTTATCTGAGCCTCTCCGATCATCCCCTCATCGTCGATGGTGGGACTAAGGTAAAATTTCAAGTTTCACGCTGTATTGTTTGATTGTGAGTAGAAATGAATGGTGTGTAATTTAGGGAAATATGTTCAAGATTTTAATTTACTTTTGCACTTTGAAGTGACATTTCTTATCCTAACTTCAAAAGTGAAAGATTATATTTCTTTTTTTAAAAATTACACCACTGCATTCCAATAAATATGATTGATCTGTCACATCTTTACTGTTTTTGGTCTCTTTTATTTTTTTCCAGATATTATTTTTTTATTTTTTTTATCTCAGTCGAATATTCCCTCTTTTTGACAGGACTAAAAAAGTTATATATATTCACAAAAAATAGTGAATAAATGTATATGTATGATTGTGATTAGTCATGAATGATGTGTAATTTTCTGTTTCTGTGGAAATTATGGTCAAGTTTTTAATGGGTTTAGGGTTAATCGTTACCATACAAAGATTTGAGGATTTGCAGGAAGGTGTTTTTTACACTGTCCATAGAAGGCAGCGGAGGAAAATTTTACACCCTCTTAACTTTTGACAGTTTGGGAGAGATTTCTCAAACATCTCAGCACAAGCGTAGGCGGACCCAAAATATATTATGGGGGGCTAATATATTCTCGGATGGACTAGTACCACTATTATTATTTATTTATTTATCTATTGTTGTTTTTTTTTGGGGGGGCTTGGCAAGTTGGCCCCCATTAGTGCCCCTTTGGATCCGCCCTTGCAAGCGTATACCATCCTACCAAAGGGTGGAATCTCTTCATAATCATAAAGTGTGCACAGAAGTTGACTGAAGAGTGCATAGAAATTATATGTTCATAATCATAAATTAAAGGTTGTAACCGGGTGACATGGGGTATCGGCATAGGCAAATTAGAAAAATCCTTAACTCTTAGACACCATGGTTGTTCTAGATTCAGAAACTGGCCAAACCAGTCGACGTGTTTCCACTAAACGTCGACCGGTTTCTGGTTTTCCCTGTTTCTTGTTCCTTAGTCCATTTTGGCTAATCCCGAGCCACTTGTTGTTACTATGGGATGCTATGAACCTTAGTATAATGCATTAATGGTGTCTTGACATTGGAAATGACGGTAATGCCCTTAGATGACTTCGGGTTCGGGTAAGGACCCGGATAGCGATATGGACCCCCCGGGTTCGGGTCGTTACAAATTCCCTCACATGCAGACTAAGAACCTGCATTCTCACACTTGTCAGTTAGCTTTTACCATCATACCAAGCAATAGAATGCCACATAATATTAGACTTATATTATACTGTGCAATGTCCATATACTGTGAATAGAAATTTACTTGGAAGGCTAAACATGAGCATCTTCAAATGGGGAGACAAGAACTCAGATCACTGTAGACACCGGAAGTCTTGATTGTCCAACTATAAGTTTGCAAGAATACGAACACTCCCCAAATTATTTGCAAGTTTGATGAATTTTAGTTCAAAATGGAACCAACAAGTATTTCGAATAATATTGTTGCGAGTGAAGGTGGATACTGGGCATTGGCGTATTCTGTCTCAGGCCCTTGCTTACCAGCATTTGAGGGAAAATAAACTACTTATCTGCTTCTGTTCCCTTTGCTTGTCTCTACTTGTTTGTTTAATACTAATACCAAATATCTATTTCATCAGTTAGTAGCTGCAATCTCCCAATATGTTGTATCACTAGTTAATTATGGATAATCATTTATAGTCTTCAAGTAGAGCCCTTGAATCACATGTGCTTATATGCCTAACACAACAAATTTCGGGTTGGTTATGAATCTGGTTGTGTTGCAAAACAGCCTGTCAAAAGCCATCTTTGCGGGTGATAGTAGACTCATGTTATTCATTAGTACTGCAGCATAACATGTAATTCTTGTTAGCTTTGTTTTGTACCTTTTGCGTTGAATCATATGATTCACAGAGCGGAGTTGTCAGTTCTGTTTTGGAGCTTTGGTTCTTGCTAGTCTTTTTCTCTATCTAAATGTCCATTTGGGTGGCTGTAATCAACTTTATACACAATGTTTGCTTCAGTTTTCATTTTCATCTCTCTCTAACTTCTCATTGGTGGCATTAAGCAGAGTTTTTCATTGGATAAATGGAGTGGGAAGAAATGTTTCATGTTAGCTGCAAGATCCCTCACAATTGTTTATGGTGATACACCTATGTATTGGAGATGGATTTCTCTACCCGAGTCCAGGTCTATCTCTCACACTGTGCTGCTCTTTTCTTCGTTTGTTTTCTCCATGTATGGTGTTAATTAATTCAATGAAACCAAATTTACAAAATCAGATTCGCTGAGGTGGCAGAGCTTGTCGATGTGTGTTGGCTTGAAATTCGTGGGAGGATAAGTACTCGGATGATATCGCCTGACACAAACTATGCAGCTTACCTTGTGTTCAAGTGGACGAAAAGAGTATATGGATTTCAATCCCAACCAGTGGAGGGCTGGGTAGGACTTCGTGGGAGTGAAGAGGAATTAAGGAGTTTTTATCTGGATCCTAATGGAGGGCAGGGGCGTCGAACTCATATTTTACCAAGACGAAGAGGGCGAATGGGGATTTTCAACCGCACCCTTGCTAAGATGCAGAGACCACAAGTCGCCATGCCAAGTGAAAGCAGCGATCAATGTCCGAAGGAGAGAGGAGACGGGTGGTTGGAGATGGAGTTGGGTGACTATCTTTACAAGAGTGGAGAAGATGGGGAACTAGAAATATGTTTGCAAGAAGTGAAGGGTGGCAACTGGAAAAGTGGCCTCATTCTTCAAGGAATTGAAATCAGGCCAAAGAATAGTAAATAAATGAAAAGGTAATGTGTAAAAAAAACCCGTTATATGTAGAATGTACAAATACCCCCACCCTTTACATTTCCCAAAAAAAAAAATTAAAGCACTGATTTCAGTTTTGAGGAGTATTTTGTGGGGATTTATAAATAAAAAAAAGTTATTTAAATTTGACAGTCGACAGATATTAGGTGCAATTTGGGCATATTTTGAAATGCTAGAGATTTGTACTCTAAATGAAATCAAGAATGTATATATTTGTAGCCAGTTTCCATAAAATGTATATATTGGTAACAACTTTCCATTTTTTTGGAATTGAATGGGCTGTTATCTAACATGTTATCTGCAAGATAAGTCACAATTATTTGGGGTGATACACCAATGTATTGGAGATGGATTTCTTTACCCGACGAGTCCGGGTCTATCTCTCACACTGTGTTCTTTGGTGTTAATAATTTCATGAGTCCAAAATCAGATTCACTGGTGTGGCAGAGCTTCTCCATGTTTGTTGGCTTGAAATTCGTGTGAAGATAAGTACTCAGATGCTATCGCCAGACACAACCTATTCAGCTTACCTTGTGTTCAAGTGGGCAGAAAGAGTGACTGGATTTGGATTCGAATACGGACCTGCAGAGAGTTGGGTACGACTCGGTGGGAGTGAAGGGCAATTAAGGAGTTCTTATCTGGATACTAATGGACAGCAGAGGCGTCGGACGGTTCGAACTGAATTTCAATAAAATTCCATAAAATGTATATATTTGTAGCAACTTCCCATTTTTTTGGAATTGAATTGGCTGTTATCTAACATGTTATCCGCAAGATACGTCGTTTTTCAATTGTCTTTGATTATAACTAGATTAGCTAGGAACTAGCTAGAGAAGTTTATTAGTAGTTAGGTTATTTTATTAAATTTGAAAAACTTTTAAATACAGAGTATTATTTTAGTAAGTGATCAAGATAGTCAAGTCTAATTTTATGTGTTCAAAGATAAGCTCGACTTCTCTCTATCTTGTTATTTAGTTTATTTTGAATTTAACAACAGGTGTGTGAATCAAGTTATATTATTTGTAATTTTTCAATTAACGATTTTGCAATGTCTTTGATTATAACTAAATTAGCTATGAACTAATTAGAAAGCTTAATTAGTATTTATGTTATTTTAACAAGTGATCTAGATCTAGATCGTCGAGTCTAATTTTATGTGTTCAAGTCAAACTCAACTCATTATTAAGCTCAAGCTTGAGGCCCATGGAAAAAATGTAATTACCAATTATAATGAAAGACTCACTTCACATAAATGAATTCAAATTCAAACTCCTGACTATAATATGGTACAGCTGGACTTGTTCGTAAACAAATGGTTACATGTTTTCTACTTGGGACAACGACTTTGCAGTTACTATATTTGGAATGAAGTGGTGATGGTCCTTTAAACGTGACACTTAGGGCTCTAAGTCCACAACAATTATTATTTTTTAAAAAAAAATTAACTACCACAATTTTGGACCTAGCATAGTACCAGTGAGGGCAGCTCTCACTGAATTTTTTATATTTAATTTTAGATCTCAATTTTTTAGAATTTATGAAAATATCCCTTGAAAAATCTTCGACTTTGCAAATATTCTTTATAAATATCATTTTTTTTGTTTGTGGGCCACAAGCTAATGATACTCTTGTTTCTTTTTCTCCACATATGGCCTACTTATAGCTAATAACCTACAATATATAGCTAAGATCTTAGCTATATATTGTAGGTTATTAGCTATATATTGTAGGTAGGCTATTAGCAAAAAGAGTCCTACAATATATAGCTAAGAATTTAGCTAATTCTTAGCTACAATAAATTCTTAGCTATATATTGTAGGTTATTAGCTATACATTGTAGGTAGGCTATTAGCAAAAAAAGTATTATTAGCTATATATTGTAGGTAGGCTATTAGCTATATACCGTGGGTAGGCCATATGCGGATAAAAAGAAACAAAAAGAGTATTATTAGCTTGGGGCCCACAAACAAAAAAAAATGATATTTAAAAAGATTATTTGCAAAGCCCGAAGATTTTACAAAGGGCATCTATATATATATATATATATATATATATATATATATTAGGATAGATAAATCAATTTTTTTTTTTTTTTTTTTTTAAAAAATATTACATTATCATTAGATGGATACATTAATGACATGGTGCACCGCGACACTCAATCTATACCCAGAGATTTGGTGAGATTTTTGAGTGAAGCTATATATAATTAGAAATTCTATTTATTATATATTTTTTTTCCCTTTTCTCATATATATATATAATATAATATAAAGTTGATTTCACTTCACAAATATTTTAATATCATTTTTGTTACTTATTGTTTCATTGCGTTATTTAAGATGTACATTTTTTTTTATTTTTTCTTTTTGACCTGACAATCAATTTATTATATAATGAACCCCTAAATTCTTATAAAATTCTCAAAAAGATTCATTTTGTCTAGCCAAATTCAAAAAATACTTATGCATTTTTTCCTTCTACTGGATCCCACAATATTTTTTTATAAAAATATTAAAAATCAACAAAACAACAACAGGCATCAGGCATGTAAATTAAGTTAATTTATTTGTTATTTTTCAATTAACATTTTTCGATTGTCTTTGACAATAACTATATTAGCTAGGAACTAATTAGAGAGGCTAATTAGTGTTTCGGTTATTTTATCAAATTTAGAAGATTTTTATTAAATAAAAAATAAAAAGATTAATGGATATATATATATATATATTTATTTATTTATATTTATATTTATATTATTTTAGCAAATGATTAAGATCGTAGAGTCTAATTTTGTGTGTTCAAGTCAAGCTCGACTCATCTATCTTGTTTAGTCTAATTTGAGTTTAATCTCAAGTGCATTATCAAACTTGAGCTTGAGGCCCAATAGATAAAATTTAATTACAAATTATAATGAATAAATTAGATTTACAAGCGCGTTCATGAATGCTTTCCATTAGCACGTTCACAAAATGAGTTCAAACTCAAACCCTTTTACTAATCAAACAAGTTTGAGCCAAACGTTAATTTCATTGAGCTCGAGTTGTTCGTGAACGAATCAATTCTATTTTCTTCTTATGGTTGGACTTTGGAGTACCAAAGACTTTTTATCTTTGGAACGAAACCTATGGTAAAAGTATTTATAATATTATATGTATGGTGTGAATTCCACAATATTTAAAAAAATAAAATAAAATAAAAAATAAAAGAAAAAAAAAATTAAAGTCAATACAGCTAGGTGTGTAACAACAATAGGTGTGTGAATTAAGTTTATTTATTTGTTATTTTCAATTAACGCTTTTTTGATTGTTTTTTATTATAACTAGATTAGCTAGGAACTAGCTAGAGAAGTTTATTAGTATTTTGGTTATTTTATCAAATCTAAAATACTTTTATATACGGAGTATTATTTTAGCAAGTGATCAACATAGTCTAATTTTGTGTGTTCAAAGTCAAGCTTGACTCCTCTCCATCTTGTTATTTAGTCTATTTTGAGTTTAATCCGGAGTATATTATCAAGCTCGAACTTGAGATCAAATGGATAAAATTTAATTACAAATTATAATGAAAGAGTCAGATTTACAAGTGTGTTCACGAACACTTACCATTAGCACGTTCACAAAATGAATTCAAATTTGAATCCCTTTATTAATCAAACAAGTTTGAGCCAAACATTAATTTCATTGAGCTCAAGTTGTTCACGAACGGATCGATTCTATTTTTTCACTTATGGTTGGACTTTGGAGTAGTAAAAACTTTTATCTTTTGGAAGGAATCGTGTGATAAAAGTTATTATAATGTTATATGTATAGTGTGAATCGCACAATATTTAAAAATAAAAAATAAAAATAAAAACTAAAGTCATTATAGCTAGTTGTGTGTAACAACAATAATTGTGTGAATTAAGTTAATTAATTTGTTATTTTTCAATTAACGTCATTTTTTGATTGTCATTGATCATAACTAGATTAGCTAGGAACTAGCTAGTGAAGTTTATTAGTATTTAGGTTATTTTATTAAATTTGAAAGACTTTTATATACGGAGTATTATTTTAGCAAGTGATCAAGATTATCGAGTCTAATTTTGTGTGTTCAAAGTCAAACTCGACTTCTCTGTATCTTGTTCTTTTGTTTATTTTGAGTTTAGTCTCGAGTACATTATCAAGTTCGTGCTTGAGGCCCAATGAATAAAATTTAATTACAAATTATAATGAAATAGTAAGATTTACAAGAATGTTTTTTTTTTTTTTTTTCGGAAGGTAAAACACATAGCATTTACTAGAATGTTCATGAACACTTACTATTAGCACATTCACAAAATGAGTTCAAATTTGAACCCCTTTATTAATCAAACAAGTTTGAGCCAAACGTTAATCTCATTGAGCTATTCTAATTGTTCGTGAATGGAATGGATTATATGAGTACCAAAGACTTTTTATCTTTGGAAGAAGCTAGCTAGTGGTACAATTGCATGAAACGCAATTATAATGTTATATGTGGAACCCACAATTTTTTAAAAAAATAAAAAATTTAAAGTCTTACCTTTTGACAGTTGACAATATAACAACAGGTATGTGAATTAAGTTAATTTATTTGTTATTTTTCAATTAACGTTTTTAAATTGTCTTTGATTATAACTAAATTAGCTATGAACTAATTAGAGAGGTTAATTAGTATTTACGTTATTTTAACAAGTGATCTAGATCATCGAGTCTAATTTTGTGTGTTCAAGTCAAACTCAACTCATTATTAAGCTCGAGGTTGAGGCCCATGAAAAAAATGTAATTACCAATTACAATGAAAGAATCACTTCACAAAAATGAATTCAAATTCAAACTCCTAACCATAATCTTGTACAATTGGACTGGACTTGTTCGTGAACAAATGGTTACATATTTTCTACTTGAGACTTTAAAGTCTTACCTTTTGACAGCTGACAATATAACAACAGGTCTGTGAATTAAGTTAATTTATTTGTTATTTTTCAATTAACGTTTTTTAATTGTCTTTGATTATCACTAAATTAGCTATGAACTAATTAGAGAGGTTAATTAGTATTTACGTTATTTTAACAAGTGATCTAGATCGTTGAGTCTAATTTTATGTGTTCAAGTCAAGCTCAACTCATTATTAAGCTCGAGGTTGAGGCCCATGAAAAAAATGTAATTACCAATTATAATGAAAGAATCACTTCACAAAAATGCATTCAAATTCAAACTCCTGACTATAATCTTGTACAGTTGGACTGAACTTGTTCGTGAATAAATGGTTACATATTTTCTACTTGAGA